ATTATCACTGTTGGGTTTGCCCCTTCTCTTTAGAGATCCGTAACGGCAGTACTTGTGGGACGCAGCTTGGGAACGATCCTCACCCGAATGGGTGGTGCGAAAGATGCAAGTTGAACCAAGAGACATTCGCAAATTCCCGGTTTGGATGTCTGTTGATCAAGGATGGTACCGATATTTCGGGCGTGATGCGAGGGATACACTTTCTAGTGCTCCAACGATCTAGCAAAGTGGCTGGCTCATGGGAGAGGGTTGGCATAGGAAGGATCTACGGCTATCGGGCCTCCTCACCCTTTGACGGGGCAAGATTGCAGGAATTGCGATTAGTATAGGTAACTACCTAGATAAACAATAGGACACCTCTAAATTTCCTAGCAATACTAGCCAGGGAGTTGAATGCACAAAGTTTGAACCTGATCATGTTGCATGTATTCGATAAGCTCTCATTCATGCTGGAAATGCTAACTCGTATACCATGAAGTAATTGATCTCGTCAGAGTAGGTAGGTACCTAAGGTAGATATACAGAGACACAGAAAGTCCTTCCGGCTATGCAGTCCCAAACGACCCCTCTTAAGTATTACGACAGAATCACGCCAACAAAAGCCGCCACCACCAGCACCACCCCTGTGACGAGAGACTCCCTCCTCGTCACTCCCGACTGGGCAGTCACACCCTTCCCAGCAACAATCTCGGCTGCCGCCCCCGCTCCTCCTGATGATCCCTCCGCCGCGGCAGTCCCGTTAAACGTCGACCCGATATCACCCCACCGGATATTCGAAAACGTCACAGAGACATCCGGGTTCGCCGCCACGATGCCCGCGGGGTCGCCAGCGGTCGCATTGCAGGGGCCGTTCCTCCCTTCGTCCCCGTCCAGCCACTTCATGAAATCCCCCGGAGAGTTCCAGATGCTGAAGATGAGCACCATCCCCCTCGCCAGGCTCTGGCCCATGCCCTGCATCCCGCCCAGCCTCAGAAAATCGGACGTGTTCCTCGCGACGCAGTAGTCCTGCGACAGGGCGCCGTCGTACCCGCCGGGGATGTTTCGAACGTTGGCGTTCGTCGTCTCGGCCGTGTTGGGAATCACTTTGCCGCCTTGCACGTAGAGCCTCTTGATCTCGGTCAAAGTCCCCGAGGTCGTCCCGTCGTCCGTCAGGAACTGCGTGACGACGGTAAAGGGTCGGGAAGTGTCGACTGCCAACCCCGGACCGTAAAACGAGGGGTTTCCCAGGCCGTACGTGTTGATGCCGCATCCGTTCTTGTCGCATACCCCGCTGCCCGCCGCCGTCCTCTTGCAGTCGTCGCCGGCGCAGAGGAAGGAGCCGACGCCCGAGCAGGTGTGCGGGGTGAAGACGGTCGCCTGGCTGTTTGCTTCCCAGATGTCCATTTCGTTGCAGCATGCGCCTGACTGGTTTAGATTTGGCTATTTATTTTTCCCCGACACATGAAAAGAGAGTCAGCATTGAATCAAAGGTAAGGTTATCTTTCCACCCATTTCCGGGCATGAGGTGGGGGGACAATCTCATCATGGGTAAGGCATATATAGGTATATATATCCATTCTCACCTGTCCGTTAATCCACCCTGGATCCGTAAAGCACTGAGCGTCGCAGTACCCAGTCCCGTAGCTGGCCCCGGCCTCGTTCCCCGCCTCGCCTCCCCTGTTCCCGCCGGGATCCATCTCGCTGAGGTACACGGCCCCGTTCATCCCGCAACCCAAGCGGGACAGGTCGACGTCGAAGCTCAGCTCCCCGCCCAGCAGCTTGAGCATCTCGTAGTTTTGCTCGTCCTCGCCCAGCAGGTAAACCCGCGGGCTGACGCTCCTGTACCTCTGCCCGTCAAAGAGGTACTGCCGCAGCGTCAGGCCCGTCCCCGCTGCGCTCACGCCTATCGAGCCGTAGTCGACGCCCTCCAGCACGCAGGACCGCGCGCACGCTTCGGGACCGTCCGGGCAGGCCGTGGCGTTGGAGACCGGCAAGGGGTTGCACGAGACCGAAGGGTCCGAGTCGAGGTGGAAGTGCCGGGACAGCGCGTCCGTCACCAGCGTGGTCTTGCGGGTCGTGCAGCCCGACGAGGAGGTGCAGACCTGGGTCGGGAGGCGCGGGTGGTGTTCGGGCGTCAGGGTGCCGATTTTTTGGGAGAGGACGGGAGAGGGGCCCGATGCCAGCAGGGAGAGGAGGACGGTGGGCAGCAGCGCAGCTGCTAGCGAGGGAGGCGACATCATTATGGTGAGGATGGTAACAGTAACCTAAAAAGAAAATAGTATAATGAGAATAAAAAAAATATATATATAAAAAAAGAGGAAAATAGCAACGAAAGAATTAGAAATCTAAACCATGAGAGAACCTAACAGAGATTACTACCTGGGGCTCTTATTTCTTTTCAATCTCTTCTTGAAATGGCCTTGTAGCAGGGGGCATGGTAAATACCTACCCATCCATCATCTACCGATCCCGTTGAAGCCCGAGCACATCCGTGATACCTTCAACCGCCCCCTTTGCTCTCCCGGCTAGATCTACCCGGTCATCTGTGACACAGTTCCCAAAGGTGGCTTCCCGGAATTTTTTTGGGCTTTTACAAACACAGAGAACAGAGAGGTGTCGCGGCAGTGCCAAGTTGGTGTTGCCGCGCGACACGGCACAGGCAGAATTGCTGGGTAAAATTGTGCCGACACTCATTCAGGGGCTGGAATGGTTTGAGCTTCACAAGCGGGAACAGACGTCGATCATTAGCCACCCCTTAAATATGATATCGTGGTTCAAGCGTCAAGATGAGCGGCATTGAGCGTTTATGGAATTTCCGGCATAGTCTTTGGTTCAAATGTTTCTCAACAGCATCAAAACCTGACAGCCTGGGATGCCCGCATGCAGTGGTGTGTCCAGGAACCGTCACGCGCACATGGCGAAAATATCGCGATCAGAAAACGGTGTGTATAGTTCAACCAAACAAAACAAAACTTTCATGTATGCACCTATCTATGGGTATATATCAAAATCATTCTTTTTCTTAGAAAGAAACACCCAACCAAAAAACACCGAACCAAAGAAAAACTAGAAAAAAAAAAAAAAAAAAAACCTTTACATCCTCTGTTGCATTTCTGTCGACGACGCCTTGGCCCTATGTTCCTCCGCCCATAGTCGTTTCTCATTTCTGAGATCTCGTCGCACCCACTCAACTGTGATGATTGTCCAAATAGTCACAAACACAAGCGGACTTCCCCAACCTGTCACACACAAACACGTTTTGGTCAGCAAACACCAATCCAACGTCGACCGTGCCAAACAAGAAAAGTGACGAAAGAGAGACTTACCAACACCATAAGCGACCGCCTCGGGCACCGTCCAGATAACCACCATGGTGCCGATACCGTCAATCAGCGACCCCACAGCCCAAAACCAGTTCTGCGTAGCAATCATCCGCCTGAATCGCCAACTGGCCTTATACCTCGCCATTAAACTCCTCCTGTACACGGCTCCGGCGCCGCCATCCACGCCGACTATATCCTCAACAATCGTAAAAACCAACGGCGGGACCCTCTCCCCCTTTTCCACCGAGCTGATCTTGCACGGCGCCGGGCGTCTAGTCTTGTTCATCCACCCGGTCCAAACCAGTTGCGACCCAACCTGGATTAGGAAAAGCGAAACAGGGATGGCTAACGGCCTGACAAGAGGGTTGTGAGGGATGCTGGCGCCGATGAGGATGCCCGTCATGACCGTGTACCCAAACGACAGTGTCCAGTGGGTAAAGTCAAACGACCATTTGGTCCCATTCTTGGGCCGGTACTTGTCGCCCTTGAGGATGAGCTTGAGGCACCGCAGGCCGAACTCGATGCCCGTCACCAAGCCGAAGAAGGCGGTGATGATGGCGAAGATGATGCCGAGGCGGAGCGTCGTGTGCAGCGTGAGGCCATAGTACAGCGATATGGGGATCAGGGCCGACTCGGCGACGAGGAGGAACACGACGATGCTGAGCTTGACTTTGTAGTCGAGGATCCGGTAGTCGAGGCGCGGGAGGCCGGGATACTCTTCGAACGACTCGACAGGCGCCGCGCTTTCGGGGTCGGTTACCGGTGCTGTGTTGTTGTCCTTATTGTTGGTTGGGGCCGTCGTCGTAGTTGTGGGAGTGACGGCGATGGGTTCGCATGCCGTCGAAGAGGAAAAGGAAGAGGTGCCGACCGAGCGGGCAGGCTTGTTGCCGTTGCCGTTGCCGTTGCTGTTGCTGTTGCTGTTGCTGTCGTTACTGTGTGTCAGATGACCCATGGCTGTCGGGTCTTCTTTCGCCACGTCTGCCATTATTTTATGTTAAGTTTGTCTGTTTGTTGTGTGGGAAAATTAGATTGGGAATAGTTGCAAAACAGTGGGGGAGAGAGAAGCCCCCGGGGATTTTATTCGGAGGGCAGACAGAGAAAAACCATGATGTCTTTGGTCTCGGCTTTTGCTCTGCACCAAGAGGCCCAAGAAGGGCCAAGCATGATCGGCACCACTAAAAGAGGCGAGATTTTGGCTTTTGCATGCACTGGACTCAGGGAAAACAGGTCAAAATGACGTTTGAGGAGTCCATTTGTTTGTCGCACCTGGAAGGCGCGGGTCTGGGCCTACGTGCTGATTTGCGTCAGGGTGTGACGTCATTGCTGTCCTCCGTCAAAGTGAATCGAGATTTGACACCCCTAACCCTGGCATTCGTGGGGGGACATCGTCTTATTCTATCAGCAACTGGAGCAACCACCTGGAGGAAATGAAGAGAATTTGTATTGTTGGAACCACACGACTCATCGTAATGATTCAAAAACAGTGCACGGGAGGTTGGTTTCGAAGTCTCTCGATGTTCGAAAAAGCCGTTGTGGAGTTTGACGTCTTCCACATCGGAACCCCACTAATAAATAAGAATTCAGGGTCTGCATTCCAATCGGAAAGCCCCCACTCGCACTTGGTGGGGGAATCCACAGAGGCTACTCCGTATGCCGAGCGAGCACCCGAAATCAGAATCCCAAAACTTCAAAAATAAACGACGCGAGCCGGATTTGAACCGACGCCTCCGAAGAGATGAGATTTCGAGTCTCACGCATTAGACCACTCTGCCATCGCGCCTTAACATGTTGTGGTGTTTTGGTCCCATTGTTGGATTTATGAACAACGTTGCACTCCTCAATTGGGTGTGAACTGCCAATTGTGCTCTTGGCGACAGTTGATCGAGAAAAAAGTGTGCGATATAAACCTGCAATATTTTTACAACAAAAGGTGGGACAAATAGCGTAGATTCAGGGTTTTAGATTTGCTAATGGCCATCGGATGCATCTGAATCTTCTTCAGCTGCCGGGCGGCAAAATCCGTCTGATATCTTTTCCAGCAACCTTGCGGTTCGGAAACCGGTGCCAGCAGCGGTGGACCCATGCTCTAGACGTTTGTTCTGTCGGGAAATCCCGAGTTCTTTGTTGTCTCAGTCCGATGCCTGCGGCGCAGCTTTTGCAAACCTTCCTCATCAATCCGGCATTTCTCTTTGTTCGAGTCACCTTGCCCACCGGACGCCAAACTCTAATGGGGAAATGAATACGATGGATGGCTACGGCCCATACCCTCCAGATGCCTTCTCGAGGCTCGACAAAAAACACCGTTGTTCGGTCTCTCACGTAACGACAGCCAAGTAGATTGGCGATTTTGAGACGGATCCTTGAGGTTAGAATCGGGAGTGTCCCTCTTCGATGCGGATTTCCCGTTAGGCTAATGTGCCCCCATGACCTCTGGATTCGGGGATGAGAGCAGAGGTCTGTCCCGATACGTGCAAACCGGGGCAGGAACGCCCACAGCTGCCCATTTGTTTGGCTCCATAAACTTCGCAGCAGGAACGATCGCAATCAAGGCTCAGGGATCCAATTATATCGCAGAGGCTGATGAGGAAGAAAAAAAAACTAAAAAAAAAAAAAAAAAAAAAAAAAACTCTTGGTCCACAATCTCTCAACATCGTCAGCACCCAACGTTCCTCACATAACTCTCACGTACGCTGCAGACTCTCACGAGGAAACCAAGGCAACGACCTGTCTGTTCGGCAAGGTGAGTGTCTTTGCGTCTCCGAGCCGTGACATTCTTCACCTTTTTTCTTGGTTTGCCGCCACGAGATGGTTCAATGAATACCTACCTATGCCGGACACAAGACGTGGTTCTCGATGTGAGTAATGACTTCGGCAACGTCCTGCGTTCTCACCAAGCACCTATGACTGGCAGAAGCTGGTTTGAAATGCGGATTCAATTCAAGTTTTCAGTGCAGGCTCGACAAAGAAATTTCGCCACTCAACCGCTCAGCCCAGACTCGGTCATGATCCAAAACAGTTGCGGCTCGGATCATTAGCTGAATTCATTTCGTGCTTGCACGTGTGGCGGGTTTGACTCCGACAAAGACATATGCTGCCCCGTTGGTAGAAATGTTCGCCTAAAGAACCCTGCCGAGATCGATTCGTCAGGTCTAGCCAGAGCTCTTCTTTTGTTTGTCACGATGGACACTTGAGATGGGTTTCCCAACACTTAAAGACTGTAAAATACCCTAATCGACATCCTCGAGCCCAAATCAACCAGTGACGAAGGGTCCAACACCCCTCTCGACCTCTTGTCCATGAACTTCATCTTTTGAGCAAAGTTGAACACCTATCACCGCCACCATGTCGGGTGTAGTCATTCAGCTACCCTTTGTGCCTCAACCGGCGTTCCTTGTAACATCCACCTAAACCAACCTCTGATGGTTCATCTCGATCTCGAACGCTAACCAGAGCTCTAGGGCGCGTCATGGGGAATGATCGGTACTGCGACCGTATGTCTCGCCGTCAGGCTGTACGCCCGCATCACTAGAATGCGCAGACTATACTGGGATGATGCCTTCGCCATCGCGCCCTGGGTCCTCATGCTAGGCGCAGTCATCATGTTCACATCCGGCTGGGTCGATATTTATTACCGGATGACCATGCTGACAGCCGGGCAGCAGGTCTCGGCCATTCCAACGGCGGACGAGCTTGACGGTGCCTTCATTACTATGCTGATCTACGCAATCTTCTTTTACGTCTCCCTCATGCTTGTCAAGATTAGCTTTCTTCTCTTCTTTAGGCATCTGGCAGTGCATGGGGGACGTGAGACTCGAAGCAAAGGTCAGAGGATATATTGGTGGATTGTCCTGGCACTCTGTTTTGTCACCGTCGTGGTTCAAATCGGTACCATTCAGTTCCCTTGCTTCGTCAACGGTTTCATGTACACGTACATGCACTGCACAGCTAACCCCGAGATCGTGCGCGGCATGTGGATAAGCGTCTCCTTGGGATTTTTCTTTGATGTCTTGACAGACGTACTCAGTACGTACCTGCGAATTCCGCTTTCACGCTTTTGATATATATATATATCAAGATGTTGCTGACACACTCTTCATTCTAGTCATCGTGATTCCCCTCCGAATGGTCTGGAACCTGAAGCTGCCGAGGCGCAAGAAGGCGGCTTTGATATCCCTTTTCTCTTTGGCTATTATTACCATTGCTTTTGCCATTGCCCGACTAACCACCCTCAGTTCTCAGAGATGGGGTGGTTCTGGCTTGGCTGACCCCATCAACCTTTGGTTTTGGAACTATATGGAGGCCACCGTCGCTCTCATCGTCGTCAATCTCGCCTCCTTCAGGCCTCTCTACACAAAGTCGACCAAACGATCAAAGCCAGCATCTGCCGCTGCTCCGCGGACTGGGGGTTCATCAACTTCAACTTTATCAAAGCTCCTCAAATGGACTTCGCCGCGCAGCAACACGAGGAACAGTGGGCACAGCTCAGAAAACTCGATCGAAAAGTCCCCCACGGGGCTGTCGCCGCCTTTACCAAACAGCTTCAGGCCCGATCTCGAACCTGAGGTCAGCCGTAAGGTTTTTGTCCATGGATCGCCGTCCATGGTGACGGAATTTTCCAGGACCAACCCGCCGGATCTTGAGAGGGGCGAAGCTGAAGACCTCGAAAACGAGAATGGGGTTGTTCGGGCAGTGGGATACCAGGTTGGCTGCGACCACGAAGGGGAAGACAGGAAGGAAGCGAACGGCCACGCTCCAGGAACAGCTATCTAGTAAGGCCGAAAAGAACCAAGCGTCGATTGAGGGGGGGACCTGCTCTAGTGGTTTTCTCATCTTACTTTCAGCAATGGCGTGTGTTTTCATTGCTCGTGTCCTGGAAAGGGGTAGGAGTTGCAGATGCGAGGTGCTCTTGCATCTCGGCTTCTTTTTTCTCCTCTCGGTTTTTTTTTTTTTTTTTTTTTTTTCTTTTGCCTTTTTTTTTTCTTTTATGCACCATTTGGTTTATAAATTTGGGAACATTCTCGAGCCCCCACTTGAGCCCCTTAATAACTACCTATATTTCTGCTCAGCCACTGCCGCAGTGTTCCCCCGAGCCGAGCAATATCTGTGCTGGGCCCAATGCAAAATCCCGATAATCTCTCTGTTCCCCGCATTGTTCAGCCAGTCGGATGTCCTACTAGAGGCGGGGCTATTGGCTATATGACAACCAACACGGGTGTTTCCGAGACTTTCATATTGCTCGGTCTGACAAATAGGACCTCGCATCTACAACCCCAAAAAACAAAAAAACGGTGTGGATTGCCATTGCTCTGACCTTGTCTTCTTGCATATGCTGTCACATTGCACAATATTTACCCATGCTAAGCGCAGTGTTCGTATGTGATGGCCTGACTTGAGCACTCCTTCAGCCTATTTCAGGGCGTCATCTTTACGGAAATCGGCACTTGAAGAATTTCTTGGCAATCAAGTCCCTGAAATTCAAATTAAACATAGATAAATATTCGACATGCTTTCCGAGTTTCAAATTCCACCAAGGGTGCGTTTTCCTAATCGCTACCCTCCCTAAGTAGCAGTTGACAACCGTTCGGATCATCACCATGACGTCCCCCCAAAGACTGTTTACGCTTGCCTTGCTGGCATTGACTCCTCATACGAGTCTTGCTTACGGTCGACAACTGCGTGCCGCGGTTGTCGATGCTCGCCAGGTTCAAAAGGAATACGACTATGTCATCATTGGCGGAGGAACCGCAGGGCTCACCGTCGCGGACAGGCTGACTGAGGATGGCAAGTCAACCGTGCTGGTGATTGAATACGGCCAATTGAGTACAGTTCCTTCCTCGTCTTCCATCTTGGAGAAGCGGCCAGCCTTATTAATTGTCCCGGATGTCTAGGTGACTCGGCATCCATCACGACTGTGACCGGTGGCTTCGCGGGCATGAACGATCCCAAATTCATGTACGACATCAACTCGGTGCCGCAAGTCAACCTCCGCAACCGCACCATTGCCGTTCGCGCCGGAAAGGTGGTAGGAGGAAGCTCGGCAGTCAACGCCATGATGACGATACGGGGCACCGCTGAGGACTACGATAGATGGGGCAGCTTCTTCAGCAAAAGCTCCCATTGGAGCTGGCAGAACCTCCTACCCTACTTCAAACGGGCGCTGAACTTTGTCCCGCCAAATCCCGACGTTGTTCAGAGCGTCAATATCACGTACGACACCAGCTTCTGGGGAAACACGTCAGGGGTGTATGCCGCGTGGCCTTCCTACCAGTACCCGGCCACGACGGCTCAGATGGAGGCATTCAGGGGGCTTCCCGATGTCCCATTTGTCAAGGACAGCGGTTCCGGCCAGCCCGGGGTCTACTGGTACCCGACTTTTATGGACCCCAAAAAGGTTGAAAGATCGTACGCAAAGACGGGACACCACGAGGTTGCGCAGAAGAGGCCGAATTACCAACTCTTGGCCGAAGCCAAGGTGAACAAGATTCTGCTCACGGGAACTACGGCTACCGGGGTGTCCTATTCGCCAATCGTGAGTGGGAAACCCAACAACGATGCTGCTCAGAGCGTGATTGCTCGAAAGGAGGTCATCCTCGCCGCGGGCGGCATCCACAGTCCGCAGATTCTCCAGCTCAGCGGGATCGGTCCCAAAAAGATCTTGTCTGCAGCCAAGATCGATACCTTGGTTGATCTGCCGGGCGTGGGACAGAACTTTCAAGATCATCCCATGCTGTCTTCGTCATATCAGTGTAAGTGCTTACTCTACATCTGATGATGCCCATT